GACCCTTTTTTCTTGTTTTAATGAATACTGTCTACTCTCCAAATATGTAACTTTTTTTTGAAACATTCTATGTACATATACTTTTCAACATTTTACGAACATTTTAAAAACGGTAAAAACATACACATATTTACATATTCAGTTATACTCTAAAGATAAATAAATTTTTTAATTGTTCGATAATTTAAATCAGTTTGAATCATAATCACAACATAATTTAAGTTCTTTTAATTATTTAATTTTAAAAAAATAATATTAACATAGTTATACATTGAGAGAATACCGCCCTTTTTATATTTACCTTATTTATATGAGAGACGACTGATAAAAGACATTTGCTGGAGTGAACAATTCAATTAATAAACTCTAGTGCCTTAAACAAGTGCAGCGATCGCGGCGGCTGTAGGAAGTGCAAGTAATGGAAGAGGGATGATGCAGGAATCGAGGCAGGAGAGCATCATGGTCCGATGGTCACGGCTCGCGGACAAACGGACCACCATCACCATGCTCGTCGGCCGGGGCTCGCGAGTAAATCTCAGCAATTTCTCCGTAATGGTTGCCAGACTGGACGCCATTACCATACGCCCTGATTTTTCTCGTCAGACCGACCGTGACGGTTAACGTTGCTTGCATGCGCTCGCATGCGATCCCAAAAGTCGCTCGGTGCATTGAACCTGGCGAGCTTTCGCGAAAATTCAAACGTTCGGCAAACGTTTAGCATGTGAAAGTGTCGAGACATTTCAATAAAACGTTTCCCGCTAAAAGTAATTTTCGTAAATAACTCACAGATATAATAATATACCTTCCTCGAAACGTTTTGCGGAAGAAAATATACGCACGAATGCCAATAGTAGAGCAAAGACCGATCGTTTCTTGATAGTCTTTTTGAATAATATGCCCATTTTGTGAGTTTTTGCGTTATACAAACCATCTCTTTAGTTATAATTAATTAATAATATACACATATATATTAAATACATATCGTACTTTTAAATGATAAAATACTGTGATTATTTTAAGTTTAATTGCAGTTTAAATTAATCAACTGTTTCTTGAAAATTATTTAATTAAAGTAATTGACTTAATACTTTATTTGTTGGATATACGAGACTATCAATCTCGAAAATTGCGAGGATAATAATAAACATTTGACTGTGGATTTTTTAAAACACACCGCTAATTCTACGAAGAACGTTATCAGGGACAATTGTTTTCTTACGTTAGATATATTTCACTCCGCGACTTGTTATTATATAAAAAATATTTCCCGATCCACTTATGCAACGTTTTACGTAATGTTACTCGCGCAGAACGATCGACATAACACGCTTGATAATTTAGCAATACCACATGGAGGATATGCAACTCGTAAGAAACGCTATCCGATTTTTTCTACTCTCGTTTCTCTACAACTTTCTTGTCGTCTTCGCTCTTTTATCCGGCTACCTTTATCGCGTATACAAATTTCGCATTTTCCATCCTTCCTGCGATAACGCGTCCGAGGATGCAGGTCCGCGATCGCGTTCCCGACCACTTGGTCGACCGATCGAGCGGAAATGAAAACACGAATCACGAAGACTCGTCTCTTTCAGGCCCGGATCGCTTCATTCGCTTTATGCAAAGCATCCCGGTAATGTCGCGATCCTTGATAAACATACATTTTCAATGTCGAGGAATTCCACGCGACTCCGTAAGAATTTTAATATCCCGTCATAGCTGTCTATAAATTTCGCCGTCCGGCTTCCCGATTTGTCGCAACACAATTTCTACATGGTTAGCTATCTTCGAAGATCATGATTGATAGTCCACAGTTCGTTCACGATTTCGTGCTTGTTTTTGCAAGCAGTCTTTAAGCGTTAAATGTGAATGATGAGTTCTCAACCGGTGAAAGATGTCGAAGAGAAAGACTTGTGTGAGAGACAGGAATAAAATTATAATTTATAAAGTCCACTTTCAGTCACACGATCTAGACTCCACGAGTTATTAATTTGCTTCTATACATTATACTCTTCAACTGTCAAATTAAGCAAGAAATTTGAATAAGAAATTCCCCGTTTAGTGTTAATTCTTTATTGGTATTGTATCATATATCGCCTAATACATATTTCTTCGTGTAATTTTGATGCACGAGTAACATATAAAAAATATATATTCGATATATATAATAGATCATTTTTGTTGAACAATTTACATTTTATATCTTTGCAATAATGTAATTTGATTCAACTGACTCATTCTTTAGGAATCTTCGATTTTTCGCCTTGTAAAGAATTAAACGCAGGATGCGGGCGCGAATTATTCGGTATCCTGTCTGGATATATGGGAGGTGCCCAGCGTGTACGTCGTGTACGTCGTGTATCTATAGTGCGGTTCAAGGTCGGACGGTGTACGTTGAAGACGATAGCCGTAAGATACGCGCGTAGGTGCATTAACCCTTCGAAGAGTCCGCCGCCACGCGATGCGCGGCTATAGTTCCAGTGAAGAATAGTATAACGCTGGCGCTTGTGAGAGGGTAAGCGCCGAAATCAACGAATAAAAATTTCTGTAGCTGAGAAAGGACAGAAGAAAGTAAAGAAAATAATCCGATATCCTGACGATTTCATATTTGATCGATTATATTTATATCGATATTTGCCATCGGAAAAGGGCGGAATTTATGAATTGCATCGAATTGATTTTCTGCAATTTAAGGAAAAATCTACATTGCAATAAAGAATACCTGCAATTTGACTGAACTGCATAAATACACAGACGCATAAATTTTAACGTATAGTTAAATGCATTCGCGCTTGATGTGAGTATACTTGCGAAAGGTTTACATTGCAATAAAGAATACCTGCAACCGGAATGAACAAGTAGACGCATAAGTTTTAGCATGCTAAACGCATTCGCGCATTGAGTACGTGAGTGTACTTAAATCTGAATCTTTCTAAGTCCCCTTTGAAAAACTGGGTTTTCGGACTTAATCGTTCCGCTTTTCGACTACAAGTTCATTTGGCCCGGTGCCTCGAGGTAATCCGGCGAAAGATAATTCTCCTGGTACCGTGAGCGAACTAATAATACCGTTACGCGACTATTAATGAGCTACGAAAATTCGGGGTATAAATGAGCGATGTATTTAATTCCTCGCTGCACAGTTCAACTTTCGTCTGATATGAAAATGATATCTAAGCTAATGAAATTAAGAACGATAAACGTTTACGTCTCTACGAGATTTTCAAGTTTTTTTCTTTTCATATTTGTAAAAAGATCTCTGCCTAAAGGGTCTCTAATTCAACAACTTTGCGTAAATTCGTGCAAAAAATACAGCAAAACTTTCTTCAAGATTCAAACGTTTTCTTAAATGCTTAAATGCTGCGCTGTAATGCCTAATGTAAAATGAATCTGAGAGTGCATCGGGCGCTGTAAAGAGAATTCTATCCGGTTTTATATCTTTTTATAAATATAGAACCAGATATAAACCTTATTAAATTCTGATATTAAATGAAGATTGCCTTCTTCTGCACGCGAAACGCTTTTCAAGGGCGTACGAGCTTTTATTAGAAAGGAATGTCCACTACTCACTCATAATTGCTTGTGTTCTTCTTCACGAACGAGCAGTCTGGGCCATGGTGCCGAGTAGGAAGTCCGGCCGCACCTCGTTGGGAATTCACCTGGCTGCCGCGCGTAAACGCAAGTGGGAAACGCTCGTGCGAGCGAGCGTTTCCTTCGACCCTTCGCGGGTCGTAGGCGTAACCGGAATTCGCGGAATGCGGTCTCGGGATCGCGTCTTACCAGTCGATCATGTCCCGTGCGAACGACGGAGGAAGGTGGAAAGAAAGAAAACGGAAGTCCGAGTCTGCACTTATCCGAGTCGGCGGACACCTCGCGAGTCGCGCGGGCGCGGACGTGGAAGGCTGGCTCCGGCGTCTCTCTTGACCGTTAGCTCGACCGTCGCATCGCGGTCTTAAAGTCGACTGCAAGAACCAAGCGGCACGGCCGCGTCCGTCCTCGGCCCCCGTAGAAATCCTGTCTCGTGCCAGCACCGGCGGCGGCGGTGCCCGGTGCACGGTGGTAGGGCGGCCGGCGAGTCTTCGGCAGTAGGCTTCGGCTTCCCCGTAGGCCGAATAGGATGTAAGCGTCTTGACGAGGTTTGCCGCCGGTGGAAAAACCTTGTCGAGGGCGGAGTTGACCCTTGACGGCGAGTCCTGCCGTGTCCAGTTTCAGTACCGGGTATCCTTCAATCCAACGATCGATGTTTAAATCATTCTGTATATCCATGCAATGCCGAAGAATGTATTGAATCCGTAAAATAATAATATATCATGATTAATTTGAAGTATAAGTATATTTTATATATGTCTATATGTATATATACTGCAAATATATGTACATACAAATACATGTTGTATATCTATTATAAAATATGTATAAAGTTATGAGAGAAAGAGAATGTTTGTAATCTTACGGAAACTGTTATAATTGCATACTTGGATATCCAGTTGCAATTTATGTTTTAAATAAAGTCTCAATTTATGTTTCAAGAAAATATAATGTTAATATCTATACAGAGTTTTGTCTATTTAATATTTTATTCGATTGTATTCGATAAGAAGAAATTATACAAATTATCGTATTAAGTAATAATAAGATTTTAAAGTTTTCAAATTTCTTTCTTTTCTTTCGTGAAATAATATTTAGTTCTTCGAAGCAAAGAACGCTTGAGATTTACTATTATTTCAATACACGAGTGTCAAATTGTTTAAATCCAACCGAGCGTATAAATGCATCTCCCCGCGTTTTCTTTTAGGCAATAAAACGTTTCGAAGGGGACGAGCACTCTTGTCGCTCACCTGTTGCTTCCTCCTGGCTATCGTGTCGTCAAGCCAGCTATACGCGACAAGATTTTGTAAGCGCATTGCGTATATATATTCCAATAGCCGATGCAATTGTGTCCTCAGTTTCGCATGCTATTGCACCGCAGTTCAATTTTCTGTCGCAAGATTTGATAAATCGATGTAATCAGCGCGTTCGACTGAATCTTTATTTTTTTTAAAGAAATTTATTTGGATTTTTCGATTGGTTCATAGACGGCTGTGTTCTGTAAAAACAATTGAATAAAGTTTGTAAGAATTTGGATACCCATTACATTTTTGAAAAAAAAGTTTAAAAAACAGCTAGATTTGCGTTCTGTATTTTAATTTATCTCGGTGTCATTTTACGATTGCAGAATATGTAAACTTTAATTAAATTTTTCTCTTAGGTCCATTTTTACCAATGTAGATTAACTTTAATTTCGGTTTAATTTACTCTTTATCTTCTAATTCTTAGAATTAGAAAAAGACAAAAAATTAAGTTAAACCGAGATTAAAGTTAATCTACATTGGTAGACATGGATATTAATGAAATACATCTTAAATATAGAATTAAAAATAAAAATAGAAGCAAGTCGGAGGATTAATTATAATTCTATTACTCTATTAATCCGCAGGAATCAGCTTGAGTGATTCTAATAACACCGATTCGATTAGATGGAACGGCTAAATGTTTATCATCGGTGATACGAGACGTGAATGTGCAGTACTTCTCGAGACTACAGAAATACGAAATACCGTTATGCGTATGCATGTTAAAATGTTGAAATTGTACTTGCGGGAGGCAAACGATTACTAAATCGACGACCGGCACCACAAACCTGCCCGTTTGACTTCAGCGTCTAACATCTCTTCGTCACGCGACCACTTCTCTGGGCAGATCTTTTGCCCTGCATTTCTAGATGCGCCCCCGATCGATAATTTTAATGTGTAAAAACACTTTCGTGTATATCGAGCTCATAATTACAGTCTTCATGTCGATAGCGTTTAGAAAGTTCATCTCGCAGGAAAATGCAGACGCGTGGGATCGTGTGATAGACTCCAAAACGAAAGACAATGAAGTGAAAGACTCTCTCTCTCTTCCTCTCCGAAGACAGTCTCGTTATATTTCACGATATACAATCGGTTTTCATCTCTCATTTCAGAGTCGGGCCCGGCTTTCCAGATTCCGTTCGCACGTGCTTGCTGCATCAAAAGTTACAGGTGACGCGAATTGCCAAATATTTTATGTAACGCTTATATAACTTATATACACTTCCCTTGGGTAAGAATCCCATTGACTTTGTTCTTATACGTTGTTTTGTGCGCGCAGATGATGAACTGCTGTATAACGAGGAAGAAGGCGAGGGAGGAGAACGCGCACAGGTCTCAGAGCATGGAGATCGACGATGTGGAGGAGACAGGTAACATTTCGCGAAATTAATTACGCCTCAAACGCCGAGTGATGGGCGGGAGAAAATTGGAAAATTCTCGATCTGACTCTGTCGCAGAGTCCGAGGACGAGGAATTCTTCGAGTGCACGAGCGAAGAGCTGGCGAGCGAGGAAGTTTCGTCAACGAAGCCGCAATTGAAGGCGAAGCACCTGCTGTGGAACAAACCCGCGGGAAGATTGGCCAAACACCCTTCGCTCAGGTTGATTTTTTTTTTCTCTTTACGAGTTATAGCGACCGCAAATTGACCAAATTTGCATCGATTGCTTAAAACCTAGAATTACTTGCGGTATTATCAAAGAGAACGTCTTTTCTTGATTTGTAAAATTTGGGGTATGTTTCAACTTCACTATCAGCTGAAAGACACGGAAAGAAATAAAATAATAAAATATATTATAGTATCTCTTAAATTACGATATTTTAAAATGAATGAGATTTTTCTACTGGCTTTGTGCTAGTTGCTAGTACTATAATATCGCATAAACTACGTTCAATAGCCGTTAGTATTCTCGTCTTTCCAATATAACTGAATATTAAATATTTCTGCCGACGGAAGTAAGCATTGAGAAGTTGCACGATTTGTGACTCAACGGGATGTGAATTGATTAATGCGTAGGCTGATTCAAACTGGAGACCCTCTTTATCTACCAATCACGCAGGATCCCGTACCGAAGACGGAGGACCAGCTGGAGGAGGACGCGCAGGTGATGATGCAGCTCGGTACCGACAAGTATGCCTCAGAGATGCGGGCTCGAATGATGAGCGCGTCCCTGTTATCCGACATGGAGTCCTTCAAGGTAAGCATAACGCACATTGATTCTAAACTATTTTACTGACATATTTTACGAGATCTATTTTCATTACGATAATAATAACGCAGGCGGCAAATCCTGGCGCGGTGCTAGAGGACTTTATTCGATGGTATTCTCCTAGGGATTGGATCGACGACGAAGGTACTGACGAATGGGGACAAGGAAAAGGTCGGTATTTTTTTTTAAATATATGTATATATACAAAATTTTTAAAAATACTCCAAATTTAACATTTAGTTATCATTGCTCAATTATCGTTATCCATAATTAATTTATCTCACTTATTTCAATCAAGTAATCGAAAATTAATTTTGATTTACCGTATAAAAAAATTATAATTCTATTTCTCTCTCTCTCTAGAATATCTTGAAAAATTATTTGAGACAGATTCTATGCCAAGATTGATATGTAACGATTTAAAAGGTTGCACATATCATTTTGAAGTATATTTACAAACCAAAATCAGACTGCAAAATCAGACTGTTTCAAAACTAAATACCCTTTTAATGACAGATTTTTTAATTCAATATAGTTGATATTTTTCTCAGCAAAAATGTCAAGGAATATCGGTTTGCAATTGAAATAGGAATATAATTTTTTATTTTCAGCGCTTATAACGATTTTTATATTGTGCCTTGAAATGCAGGTCATTTGTCACCGCGGATGATGATCCCTGATAATCCGTGGTCAACGACATGGGCATCGGCGCAGCCAGTTTCCGCACATCGGCAGAAACGATTGTTCGATGACACGCGAGAGGCGGAGAAGGCTCTGCATTACCTGAGTTCGAAGCGAATAGGCCAGATCGCGCAACTCTTATTGCCGACTCTGACGCACGCCGCGCTCCATACCCTGAGCTCACAGAAACAGGAAGCTCTACCGAGTCTGCCCGATGTAGCACAGAGTATACTTAATAAATTGCAATACGCGACGAAACCAATTCATCAAAAGCTACAATTGTATGAGGTACAGTCGGCAAATCTTCGATCATAATCAATCATTAGATCGATTTCGATTATGCTTAATTAATGTTAATCATGTTTGTCATGAATGTTTCTATATTACATATTAATGTGCGCGTATAAATAAATATATTTGAAAGTTTTAACAAATATTTAGACTTTCTTTTAATTTCTTCAGGAAATCACGCGTGACATCGAGAGCGTGGAAGCGCTGGTTGCGCAAGTAAATTCGTTACAGCACAAGCTGAGCGGTAACAACGACAAAGAATTCACGTCCTTTTTGATTCAATTGATGCGGGGAAAGGAAGTGAGCGTGCCCGGCGGTTCCAGAGGAGACATCGGAGCTCGAATAACGACGATGTTCCGCGACGCTCAAAAGGTAGAGATACATTTTTACACGTTGTTATGGTATCGTACATAAAAGAGAAAGAAAGTTTTCTATTCGAACACAAAATATTTCGATTTTATTTCAGGCCGCTCACATGATGACGTCCGTCAGTAACACCAACAAAAGTACCTCAAGTGCGGAAGATAGTCGATACAAAACGTTCCCCGAACCGTCGTGCAAGGAATTCATTTTGCGAGCGATAATGCCACGACCTTCGCCAGCATCCACGCCGCAGCCGCAGCGGCTGTATGTCTGCCTTAAACGAGATCACATTCGTTTAGCCGGATTCTTTTCCGAAGATACGACGTTTTTATAATGTCGATCAAACGGCATCATCGTCGCATTTAAGTAATTTTTATTGTAAAAAATCATACGCGTCTTTTGGATTTGCCACGATAATGATTGTGGATCATGTATCGTTTGTTCTTTTCATTGAATTCGTTGTTCATTCGTAATTAATTTTCCTAACACATCATATAACTTTCGATTTCGCCTTCGATTGGTTCGAAGGACGGAGACAAGTGCGAGAAGCGGTATATGATACAAGTGATACAACGCGTGTTCAGTAAGTGCGGATTCGTTTTACCGTGTGTATCTTAGATATCTAAGATATCTTTTACAGAAAATATTATATTTATTAGGATGTCATGTTTTTACTAATTTAATTAGGGGTATCGAAAACAGTTGTGACCATAAGATCAAATGTGTTTTTATTGCGTTACCGAATGGACATTGAATTCCACTGATCAAACATCTCCTTTCCGAATGCGGGTAATCCCGTAAGCAGATCTCGCATGATGCGATCGATCTCCTCCAGAGCTAGCTGAACATGAAGCTGTAGCACGTCGTCCGTGTCGTCGCGCAAATTGCGCAATTCGCGGTACAGGTCGATCATGTCGCTGGTACAGCTGCTCAACAAGTCTCGGTCAAGACCGCGAAACAGAAGCGTCGCGACCAGCACGGCGGCACGCCGACATTCGGGTACTTTGTCTGATTTCAATATACACGTGACGCAATAGAGAATCTGGAAACGTTAACATTAAATTTAAAGAAAAATTTCTTCGATATTTGTTCTCTGCGTGCGAGTCTTATATACGTACTTCGGTGAGAATGTTTCCCAGACGGTAGTTCAATACCTTGCAGAGCTCCCCTAAGCAAGAAAGACCAGAGGCTCGCACCAGAGGATCCGGATCACGGATTGCGCATAAAAAGCCATTAACCAGCATGTTTTTTTGAACCACACTCATTTCACCTGCGAAATTTCATATTTCTAAATTACCCTTAACTCGTGAAGCATCAGGATCTTATGATAGTCGCATCACGATGTATTCTGTTTTATCGTTTTCTGGACTTGCGTCCGGAGTATATACTTTGAGTAACGATAATTTATTAACAATATACTTTTGTTACCACATGAGTTTGAATCATGTTAGAATAAAATTAACAAAGATAAAAAAAAGGGGATTTATAGGAAAAATTTTAGCTGTACATATGAGAATAATAAAGAAAGGATTTCTATGTACCCAAGGCTCTCGTTGTTTTGACTAGTATCTCCCCGAGCTTTATCCTAGTTTCGACAGTTACGTCCGAGATTGCGGCACGTGCGGGCATATCAATGTATTCGAGCATCAGCGTTTCTATGACCTTTTCCGGGAATTCAGTTGCCAATACGCACAGACCGTTGATAGTCGCCAGATATATGAACGAGTCCTCATGCTTCAAATTCTCCTGTAACAAAATACAACAAAGTGAAACAAGCTTGTAGAACGCGCAGCAGGGGAGCGATCGAAATATTAGGCAACCTGGAACAGACGCAAAATGAAGGCGTTACGCGCAACGGCGTAAGCATCTTTAGTCTCGATGAGTTTCGTGAGTGTCACAAGACCGTGCGCCCGAACAGGAAGCAATGGGTCCGCGAGATCCCTCAGTGCTTCATCAAATTTGCCCGACGAACTTGACAAGTCTTGATAGTATTTCTTCTCCGTTCTAGCTCGAGAATCATGTGTCGTGATGCAGGCAACCACTTCGTTGATCAATGATCCAAGTTGCGTCGGTATATTCGAGTTCTTCAGACGATCCTCTAAAAACGCTTTAAAATCTTGGAAGAAATCAATCTCAATCGCTGCACTCTTCTCGAGCAGGATCATTTTTATCAGCATCAAGCTAATGTACAGCATCTCGCATTCACTCTCTTCGGTTTTATCCAGATGGCTTTTCGTGTACTCGTCGAACAGCGACTTTATGAACGACAGCAGCGGCTCGGGATTTTTTACTTGTGCGTCTTGGACGGTACTCGTGCTGGCTAGTTGCGAGAGAAGTTTATGAGCCGCTAATTGCATCGTGATGCGCTCTATTTTATCGTCTTCCGTCTCCAATGTTTTTGGCTGTTCAATTTCGCTCCATTTATTTACATTTGACAGGAACTTCAACATGTAACAGAATAAACTGGGAGACAAGTCTTTAGCGGTGGACACTAGGTCGAAAATAGTATCAGCCAGTTTCTCGTAGTTCAAATTCTCATTCAAGCCAGTAATTTCGATACCGCCAGTCGGTCCAAATTCTGACTTCACATAATCTCCAAATCCTGCTGACGTATCGTGTCCTAGACAAGCTGAATACAGTTTTTCCCGTGTCTCTTCCTCGAAGATTTTCAATAACAGTCGTCGTAAATTCGTTTTCAATGTGCAAGCACTTTCGCGGACTTTATCATAAAGGCAAAACAGAGGCGTAGCGATGTGCAAGATAACTTTGCAAGGTACATGCTTGAACTTGGCATCCTCCGTAAGGAAACATTTCGCTAATATTTCTATACAACGTTCTACTTCTTTTTCAGATTTTACAACATGTGATCCCTTCATTATTAAAGGTACACAAACGACTTCTATAATATACTTCTGACAGGCATGTGGATTGTAATCATACAGAGATTTAATACAGCAGTTTGCTATTATTGAGCCATGCTTGAACTTATCTGAGGAAAACATATCTAAAATCTAAAAAAAAAATTTGTCATGTAGCACTCATTTTTTTATATTATATATACAAACATATATATATATATTTTTATACATTATTTCTTTAAGTAATAACCTACCTGCGGACATACGGCTTTGTAATACTCATCGATATTCTTTCCATGCGTTGCTGCTACCAATCGAGAAAGCGTATCTAATTTTCTCCAATCCGCACCCAAGTCCAAACCATCGTTGTAAATTGTGGTGATCAAAGATGATACTCCATTCGGTTGCATAAGCATCTTAATTAAATAGTTCTGAGTTTCTCTACGTAGCCACCTTGGTGCATTTTGCACTCCAAGAATCACCATTAATTCCCGAAAGCATATGTCACGTGGGCAATTATTTAATAGCGAAATTAATTTAGTGCAAAATTCTCTTTGACGATTCTGCAGCCTCTGATATTCTTCCGTTGTCATACGAAATTCCTGACTATTCAAATTCGTGGATTGAACGTCATTCGATGGTTTAGCAAGAGGAGCATGAGACAATTGTAATAGAGCGGCTATTAGTGGGCCGATTCGTAAAAGTACAGCTGGTTGCAAATTAAGATCGTCGAACATTTCTAAGAGTAAGTGTGTTGAAGAACATAACCGTTCATATTTCTGAAACATAGGAAGTCCATATGTAAAAGAGAAAAATAATTATACAAATTACATAATACATAAATTACACGATACCTTACCTCCAGGCAGCTCAAATCTTTTTCTTGGGCAATTGTTGAAGATATGGGACATAATTTTTCTATATCTATACCTACACCAGGTAGTAGAGAAGGCTTAATTCCGATTAATATTATGAATTCCACAGCAATTTTCACAGAACGATATTGGCTGACATTAAAAGGTATATCAGTGTCTATTTCTGTATTTTCTTGTTTAATGCCACGCAATATATAAGTTAATATATGAAGGTATTGTTTTCTATAAAAATAGAAATGTTATATATAACATACAATATATATAATCTAATATTTCTAGTCCATATAATCTATATAGTATTTTAACAATATCAAATTGTACCTCACAGAGAAATGTTCGACACATTGCTTTACATCGTCTGGTAGAAGCGGCTTTATCTTCTGAATCATTTGTGCCACCTTATCATCAAAATTTGTAGCTTGATCTGTAAATATAGATTCAGTTAAAAATACATTATATCATCTTAATTATACAATATTAATATATATTAATTAGATATTAATACAATATTTAAAATCTTACCATCAATACTAAATATTAGTGTGGATAATACTTCGTGGTAATTCATTTTGGTAATTATTTAGTTTAGTGTAGAGACCTCTTCACGTCCGATTTTTGTGAAATTAGGCTTTGACGCATTTTTGCACGAAACGAGAAAATCTGTGAGTTCCACATCTCATTTTATATCAACAAACTGTCCCAACTAATATCGGCACATTATTTTTAAGAAACAATTTTTTAAAATAAATATTTAGTTTAGTCTTTCTGAGCTCCATGTATATAATATTGATAAAATTACGCATTTGACATGTTTTTGTGCGAAATTAAAGAATCCAACAGAGAAAAGCCCCGCGAAACGATAAAACTGACGTTAAATATTTTTTATTCGTCTCGTATAAGACATGTATTATTAATTTGAACCGGAAGGGGTTTTGGGGTTATATCACGTAGAGGCGGTGATATAGGACAAAAGCACTGACAAATAATCCTGGCATCCTGCCCATTTTTTAAAATTAAAAATGACTCCTATTTTATTCCAATCTTTTCTTCTTAAAATCTCTTTATCGTTAAACTTCAGGTTCAGATTAGGAAATCTATCACAGCCACACGAAATCATACACAAAACATCATAACATAAGGCCTGTTTTTTATAGGTGCACTAGTTCACAGTTAATTTTTCTCTTTCTACATTGGAAGAAGAAAGATAAACTCTGAACTAGTGTAGCTAGTTCAGCTATAAAAAACAGACCTATAACATTCGTATGCTCCATGGTCATATGTGCATGCGCTTTACCAGAGAAGGATCCTCTCTGGCTTTACATAGTTAGTGGATTAGTGGCGGCGCTCCTATCTCGGCGCATGCGCACAAGGCGAATCGAGAGCAGCGCTCGAGTCGGCGCTCGTCCGTCCGCCATTCGTTCTCAGGCATCGAAACGAGTTGCACGTGCGTGTGGTGTTAAGAGCAGTTAGGAAAGATTGAGGTTAGACGTTCGGTAGTCAGACAGAATTAGAGTTAGAGTCGGTGTTGAGCTACGATTTGTTGGGCTGTACTCGTAACGCTCAGGACAATGTCGAGGAAGCAGAACAAGTGGTGGAATAGACGAGGAGAAAACGACCACCGAGGGGGAAACTATCAGGAGCCGTATTACTGTGAGTATCCAGCACGATTTTCGGCCCTCGGCCGTACTTAAGTATCTCGGCATATTCGCGTCGCGTATTTAACGAGCGCGTCGATAATTTCTCTCGCGCATTCAATCGTCTGTGGCCGAGTGATTCTATCGTTCTAGCTAGAATCTTCGCGACGATTTAGTACTTCGATCTTTACTTTCGCATTAGTGTTCGTTTATTACGTATTAGCGTCACGTATTGCATCATTCGACTCTAAGAATCTGGGCGTATTAATACCCCGTTTAGGGGATAGGTCCCATAAAGAAAAAAGAAAAAGAATCGTCCGCGTTCACCTCGTTTGCTCCGTCCGGTTTTTGTGCGCGAGGCCGCCGCCGTGCACCGCGTCCCGTGATGTGTTTGCAAGAATTGCAAGATAAACGCCAACGCGTCGCATAATCGTACATACGAGATCCACAGTTTTGCGCGTCGCGCCGTCGCGCGTGCATTCACCTTTGAGTATATAGATACCTGGGTCCTGGAATGCCTTTGTTCTCTGCAGGCCGCAAGGCCCGCAAGCGAGTCCAAGAGTGGCAAGGAGTGCGAGAGAGAAAGGTATACGAGCGATACCACGTAATACTTCGTCCTCTCTGTCTGTTGAATGATCGACGCATGCGCAGAGAGGACAAAACATTACTCGTCTACCTTTCTCTCTCGCACACATCTTGGACACAGTTTTCGAGCCAACATTCCCCCTCCATATCTGTATACTCAAAGGGCATTCACACGCTTGCATGCTTATTCCTTTGCGACGCGGATTAATAGAGTCGGCCGGGCGATATGTAGAAACGTGAATTACAGGAGGAAACTATCGTCCTAAATTAATTCGTGAATAAGTACTTATCTCTCTCCCGGGTGAAAGAGAGAAACGTTCTTACGTATACAAGTATCAAGAGTACATTTCTCAAGAGTAACAGATAAACGTGCTTCTATCACGATTCCGTTCCAACGCGATTAAAGCCTCTTCGTTATCTTGTAGAATAAATAAATCTTAAAAATTTCAGAATTATAATTTATCTATATCTATAAGCTTTCGAACCGTGCAAATTAATTAAGATCCATATTCAGAACGCGTTTTGATGTGCATTATAGTTCACATGTACCTACTGCTTGTAAAATTTTAGATTTGTTAATGCACTAACATCGTTCCTTCTGAATACGGATCTTCTGTGCTTATCACTAGAATCGAAAGTTAATATTTTAAGTGAGGAGGCTGTGTTTACTCAGGTCTCTCCACCGCTTAAAAGATAAAAATACATAAGTTAAAATAGATATTTTAAGATATTATATATGTTTAATAAAATTTTCTTTTATTTTTCTGTGACTATTGTATGATTTTAAATTATAAATTTAAAATTGTAAAAAGACTAGCTTAAAATAAAACACGTAGTAACTTGACGTATTCGGCTTGTACTTGTTATAAATTTTTATACGAATACGTTGTTTTTTTATATTTTGATAATAATTTGCATAAACTTTGATTAAATATTTGCAAAAGTATAAATATTTACACGATATGAACATTATATGAGCTTGATAATATTTATTAATCTCCTGGGATAACCGTTAGATTTCTTAAAATATTTTGTGATAAAAAATCTTATATGCAGTAAGAAACTTATGAAGGTTTACTTTCTCTTAATGAAAAAACGCTTTCCCCTAGATTATTTTTATCTGGCAGAGAGATGGAAAATCATCAAAAAAGCCAAAGTCTTCGGGTGAAAGTCGCAGGGGTGATAATCTTGCTAAAAGGTTTCTCTCTTTTAACGAAAAAAAACAGGAAGACTCTCTAAGACAAACATGAAGAGCAGGTAGATTTTTCGTGGCATCCTTTTCTGGGGGACCCTTTGGTGTTAAACATACAGAGCAGGTAGGTTTTTCACGACATCCTGTTTTGTTGCGTCGCGTTGCAGCGGTTGGTAAGATTTCTCTTCGAAAATTTCTTCAAATTCTTTCAAATCGTTCATGAGATATTTATATGTAGATTACTAGTTGTAGTAATATGTTAAATTTATTATTCTTGAAAACGAATTTCTTGGAAACTGCATTGTCTTGTAAGTCAGGAAGGATAATAACTAATATCCTGTGATTTCGCGTGTAAAGTTTATTATAGCACTTACTCGATTTGCGTCACATATACTGCATAAATGTGTCTAATCGTGTCGTAATTTCGCTTTTTGTGCCGCGACAATGTCTAGGGGCTAAAACGTCGCCGGGTGGCGGCGACGGTCCCTTTTATGCACGCACGGACTTGACATCCTAATAGCCGAAAACACTTTGTATTCCACCGCGGCGCCGATTCGGTCTCCAAGACACATGCATATGTATATGTAACGTGCGGATATAGCAATTGTCGATTCCGTCCTTTTTGTTTTGTCGTGCACGATTTTTAGAGGTCTACGCAACATGCATAATAACTCGTCGAATCAAATGTTTTTAATAGTAATTACAAAAATTAACTTTTTATCATGTTTCTTTTATACCGCGATTTTATCTAATTTTATTAACCTAATTTTGTTAACATTTCTTGCAGTATATAATAAAATTTTGTATTATATATATAAAATATTTTGAATAATGCATAATTTAAATATTTAAAATAATGCAAACTTCGTTTTTAAATATTATTGTATTTGCAAAAATAGAAATATTTACACGATATAAACATTATGTGGTAGCATTCGGGATACAATATCATATAGACCCACCGTATAAAATTTTATAAAGAGTAAGTTTAATCAATAATCGCTGAACATTAAAGATATCGAAATAACTGTTTCATGATAAAAATAAATTATTGTCATTTATTCGTATAAATTTTACTGCATCACTTTCTATTTTTAGGCCATAATGACCGAGGAAGAAATACGGGACGGGATGGTGGACCTCACGTCGGTCCCATCAAGCATCGCGTTTCGTTCAAGGCTCTCAATAGACCAAACAATACGGCTATGTCGAGAAATTTGGCATTAGCGAGTTTAGATGAGGGTATTCCGATGACCGATTCTAATAACAATACCAGGCAGGTGATAATCAATCAAAGGGATAATAGCGATAGGAATTGGATGCTACCTCTTCCTTTGACAGAATCCAATTGGTATAAAATTATTGTACGTATACGTTTCTGTAATTACATGATGTAACAATTAAGCTCCCGGACATAAAAAAATTCGGAGGCAACGATCGAGTTTTTAACAAGAGATTCCCTTGTTAATCTATCCGCCCTATTCGCCTGATTTAGCGCCTTGACTTTTTTTTATTTCCTAAATTAAAAATTGCACTGAAAGAAACGAGATCTGACACACTGATAAGAGAATTGAAGGCGGATTCGGGAAACGTGTTTTTTTTTTTTTTTTTAGTATTTATTTCGTTATATGTATAAACGATGTACAGAAGCGAGCGGGGACTATGTTGAATGATAGTATTAATAAGTATTTTCGATCTTCGTATGTTTTTTTATGGCCTCAGTCCGGGAACTTAATTGTCAAATTATATATATTACATTTATATAGATTTAGAATAAATTTCTATTTATATTTTGCAGATACCATACGGTCATAAATACGAAAAAGATTTTGTGATCGATAAATTAAAACTATCGAATATAATGCTTTATGATTTTATTCCAATAATGGTAAGTAATACTTTCTTAGAAAATTCAGAATATTTTGTTCAATGTATGTTTTAATATGAGACGAATAAATATAAAACAAAATTGTTTATGTAGTACAAGATAATGGGGAATAAAGCTATTTTCTACGTGGATGACCTGAAGACGGCAAATGCATTAATGAATTGCGACCGTAAGATTCCAATGTACAATGGGTTTAAGTTGCAAGTGAAGGTCGAATCAGGTTTCCTGATTAACTTCCCTGCCTATGAGATTGACGATAAGTTGAAAGACAGATTGAAGCAAGCAATGGCTAAGAGATATGTACAAGAGACAAATGCTCTGAATTTAAGCAAGTTCCATCTTGATCCGGGTAAGAAATAAAAAATATAAACTGAAATTATAAATATATTAAAGATAACAATATGTCAAAGATGTTGATTGATGCAATTTGAAAATTCTAACTTGCGTATATATTCGTCTTACAGAACTTTATACTGATTACTTTTGCGCATTGTTCCATCCCAATACTTTGATGACTGTATTGGATATTGTAGCGCAATATGTTCCGAATTTAGAGACACTAAATTTGGAAGGGAATAAGTTATGGCATATTCAAAGACTCGGTGTGTTGGCTAAGAAATTCTCGAAATTGAAGATTCTTTATATCGGCGAAAATAAAGTAAGTATATTTTAAGAAGAAAAAATATATAACATAGTCATTAACTTGGTGTTAACCGGAATTAATTGCATATTCTTAGATTACTGACATTCATCAACTTGATGCCATTAAGGATCTGAAGTTAGATGAATTGAATATGACTGGGAATCCTGTCTGTAATGAGTATAAATCTCGACAAAATGATTATGTCAGGTAATGTAATGCTCCAACGTAATCTTTTCTTTTACCGTAAAACACAGGGACTATTAAGAGTAGAGTAGACTTAAGACTGTTAATCTGCTCGCAAGATTCTGGCATAGTGATTATGTTATATTTGCTTTGATAAACAGGGTTTGGCAAAATTCCACTTTTTTTTTATAAATTAGCTTTGTCTTACGAGATATTAAATGGTAAATCAGATTTAAATTAGTAACAAACATTTTTAATGCTACTACTATTTTATTTTGTAAATGAAAACAGTTTATTTGTATAATATATATAATATATTTTGTATAACATTTATCTGTAAAGTTTGTTTTAAAAATGTTTAATATTTTGAAAATTTATTTTACAATTTGAAAAGATTTTATTATAAGATTTTATTATGCTTCGCATAAATGGATTTATCCTTTTCAATTATAGCGATGTACGACGACGCTTTCCAAAGCTGCTACGCTTGGTAAGTATCATGTATGTTGTTAACATATGTACATATTCAAAATTTTATATCTTGTGTCATATGTTTTTTTTTATTCGGCACAACAGGATGGCGTCGAATTGCCACGACCGATTGTCTTTGATGTTGTTGAAGCCAAGATGCCTCAATCACAGAGGTTATTTGTTGGCGATGGAAAAGCGCAAGAGATAGCTCAGTTTTTGCAAGAGTATTTTAAAATATTTGATAGTGAGAATCGTCGATCTCTACTTAATGCGTATGACGAACATGCAAGCTTTAGCATGACGATAACCACTGACCACAATAATAAGTAAGTGTCTGTGTAACATTACACTATTTTATTTTCTCTTTGTTCCTGTATTGTGAATATATTAATGTTCTTTTGTTTTATTGAGTACAACGGAAAATTATTAAACTACAATTATATTTTTGTTCCAGATTGAATGGGTATATCAGGGAAAATCGAAACCTGTTCAGAATAAATGACACCACCAGACAGAAATTATTTAAACAGGGGAGATTTCCTGTAATTTCTTTTGTGTTAAAAATGCCGCGAACAAGGCATTTGTTGAATACCTTTACGATGGACACCTCTCTTGCTACAGTAAGTATTTGTGTTGTATTTATTATTACTCATTACAAGGGATAAAAGTAGACTCATATTATAATTTACTTTTTATTTGTCCACAGCAAACGATGACGTTCATCACGATAACGGGTTACTTCCAAGAACTCGATAATAAAGACGAACCAATTCGTTACTTCAATAGAACGGTCGTAATCGTCCCGAAAGGCGAAGGGTATTGCATTCGAAATGAGCAGTTGCACATTAGTCAGCCGTCCGAGGCACAAGTGAAGCAACTGCATCAACAGTTGAGTCGGCTAAATAGGCAGCCAACCCAGCCGGAGGCGCCGGCGCTGGGATCCGCGGAAGTAGCAAAGTCCATAGTCCCGAAGCTTAGTAACGATACAAAGCAGCAAATGGCAGTGACATTAAGCCAGCAGACAAATATGAATCTGGAATGGAGTTTGAAGTGCTTACAAGATTTGCAATGGAACTATGACAACGCACTCTCAGCCTTTCAAAAGCTCGACAAACTTGGACAGGTACCATCAGAAGCGTTTACAAAGTAAAACACGTATGTGAGTAAAAAAAAATACACTTGTTAAAACACTGTGATAAGTAGTATAGTTGAGAGTGCGGACTTCTTGTAAAAACATCAAACATCCGTTTAGATTTTAGTTTAGTTATTAATTATATTAGTTTTTTTTTTAGCCGTTTCATTGATAAATACACTATGTGTTAAACATAGGTTATGTTAGTTTAGGTTATATGTGCATTTGATAGTATGATAAGACAATTGGATTCCTGATATATTAATTAATATAAGAAATATCGTAGTAATATTAGGTATAATAAGTAATATTTTGTTACAAATGTTCGCTCTTCAGGTTTTGATACATAATATTAAAAAAAATGTTCAAAAGATAAAAAAGGAAGAAAAAATTTAGTTAGGTTAGGTTTAATTAAGTTTAATTAGATCTTTATTAGGGAAACAAATATTATATAATTTCACATTCATAATCAAATTTTTAGCATAGTATAACATAACAACATATGTATAATATGTGATGTTACGTTATATAATATTATAAGCAAAATATAAGATTAACAGCAAGATATTTTCTGGTATGTAAAAACATTACATACCATTTGGTTTAAAATTTTCTGATATATTTCTTATCACACACATTCAACGTTTGCATCACAGTTTCTACAGATTCACAATTCTTCCGATTCATAAATAGTATGAACAAAGAGAAAAATTTATATTTTATTAGCATCTTTACATTGCCGATTTGTTTAATATTTCATATCTATTCAAAGTTCAGGGAGCACGCTTTTAGCGCTATTTAGGATTTTGTCTTTTGTTGTATTTTTATAACTCATTAGATGTAAAACGAGGAAAGAATGGCAAAATAACACTGAATAGCACTGACAGCCTACTTCCTAAACGCGTACATTCAACGTGAAATATATTTCAATGTTAGATATATTTCTATATGTCTAACATTGAAATATATGTAAAAAACTTTAGATTTTAAATTTATAGATAAGATACAGATAAGGAAGATAGAGATACTTTCATTTAAAAAACACTGTAAAAAACAAAAAATTTTTATGTTATATGGGTACGGTTGGATTCTATATATAGTATATATGTATATATATATATATATATTTATATACATATATGTATATTTTTAGTAAAAAAGTATCTCTATCTTTCTCTATAAAAAGAAAATATCTTACAATCAGATTGTACCTGTAACAAAGGACATTTTTTAACAGGTTAAGTAAAAGAAAGATATAGTTCCTTTTGTATATCTAAAGTTCGATTTGTCAGATGTACAATTTACGTTTTCGGTCTACTAACTGGATTTTATTATGCGCACAGATAAAAGTCGAATTTTTATATGCTCAAATTTATCGAAGTCTCGAGAGTAATATAATTCAGTTAGCAGAATATTTTATATGTATTATGTATATCGAATAGTCTTTATGGATATAGTGCAATTTTGTAGAAAGTATAGCCAAACAGCTTTCTCAAAATTGTCATTTTATATGTACGTCGATATAAATATTAAATAGCAATTGTATATCTTTTTGTAAATTGTAAATAGCGTCATGGAGTATAGGTTTTGTGCGTCCGTAAGTCGCTTATAGGCATGTATTAAGTAAAACTGAGCTCTCTTACAATTGTGTGAGTATAAATTATTCGACTGGGGAATATTCGTGATCGACTGAATTTTTTGTTGCTTGTATATTTCGCGATATATGTTAGCGTTGCGTATGTCCGATACGCAACTTTTTTATCATATTGAGAATGCGATTTGCATTCCGTACACACACATGCACACATTCCATGGGACAACGAAGTGATAGAAAAGTCATATACCAGGATAATGTTCTGAAAAGTTTCGACTTCAGAACAGCATCCTGGTATTCCGAGTCAGGGTGGTCCTCGGAACTATTGGAAGTCCAGATGACTGCGTTACATGTCGGAAAATCGATCGTATTGCATTTCGAATGCCCAGGTATCTCATCTGGGCATTTGTATATTCAGATGGAATGATGATCGACGGTAATGTACGTGTTTGAGGGGACGGACTTTTGAAAGAATATAGAAGACTTCGTTCCACGGAATGGAGGTGAAAAGTACGTGTTGAACATATTTATAACCGTATCACACACTCTATTGGTGACAATTCGCGTAATAACGTCGGAGATTATAATATCGTAACCGCCTGAATGGTGAGAGAGAGAGAGAGCAAGGAGGAATAATTTATACTCACACATTAGTAACAGTTTTATTAAGAAAAAAAGTATGTAGTAGGCATGTATTTTAACAGGATGTTGACACGCGCGAAGTATTAAAAAGACTATTGTATACATTTACGCAGAATATGCAAATCGCTAAATGTGACCGGAAAAACAAAATGTTCTTTTTTATGTTCATCGAGCGAGGAAAATGATTAATAGATACTTTCGATTTGTAAAACTTGTGCAAATTGTGCAAGTAGAAAAAAAAATGTATTATAAATGTTACATAAATAACAATTACCGTTATTGCCTTGCAAGAGAAAATAAATACCAAATTATTAATTATTATTGTAATTAATGTGTGATAATGATGTAAAACTTAAACACACAATGATGTGTTATATATAATGTAAATATCTTTATTAATAATAAGTGTCATTAATGTATTATATTGAGTATTGCTTGTTATTACGGCCGATACTTTATGTAATATGAATAAAAAGTATATTTTATATATATTAATCAATATGTATTTCTCATTTGTATATACTGTACCTGTAACTTGGGTTTGGAAAGATCTTTCTTGGAGTGCTTCCTTCTCTAGATTTAAAAAAAAAATGGTACATTACTCATTCGGGAGCCCGACGAGGTGTGTTTAGAACATTTTTCTTCTTTCTATAAAAACTTCTGGCTTAATGCGCGCGCCGTTCCGAGAATTATCGCGAGTAGTTTGGAAAAAAGATCACATTAAAAATTATATATAAATTATATCCAAGAGAGTATATCAATTTTTATGATAAATACAAGACACTTTTACTCGAATGTACTTTTCTCTATCACATTTATATTGGAATTACAGACTGTTATCTCCGCATTTAATATCGAAGGGAAGTAAAACTTGCGCGCTCCTCGATTTACCGTTTCTACTTTCAACAGGGCACGTCTTGCAAAATTCAGGCGCGAACGTATTGTATGCAAAATCATGAGATGCATAAATGACAATCGGACAAGGAAGTATGGATTCGTCAAAATTAATAATAAATTTCATTGAAATATTACTTATTCATGTTATTACGATGCGAAGGAGTCTCGACTAGAGGAACTGTCGATGGTGTTTGGCGGAACTTCCAGATTAAAAAATATCTAATATAAAAAAACTTAAGAAGGGAAATAAAATGTATAACGTTGTGTATACTTCAAATGTTTTTTTTTTACTATTACTTAAATGCGAGTCTCGTTGAAAATGATAAAGTTGTATAAAAATGCATGCTCACTTTATAGGGCTGTAATCAGAAACTTCGCCCAGGTGCATCTAGATACTATTTCATCCTTGTTTAACATTCGATGAATAACAAGGATAAAATATGTGCTGTGAATTCCTGAACGCACCCCAGGGTTTAAAAAACAGACGAAGACTTTCTTATGGAAGGTATGGAGCTTTCCACATCCAGAATTTTGGGTATTTACAAATATTTTAATTTTTGACAAATTTTAAGTAATTTTGAATAATATATATATTTTCTACACACCCACACATACCACGCGCGCGCGCGCGCGCGTGTGTGTAGAAAATATATTTCGCATATGCAACAAAAGAGATAAAATATGTGTTATTAAAACCCCTCTTCCTTGCTTGAACGAGATATTCCACATTCAGAAAAGTCAAAAGTCTCCCTGTTTACAATAACATATACTCGCCTGTACGTATTTTTACATTTGTTATTATTGTTTTCTTACCCAAAAATACCCTATAATACAAATATACAAATTGTATTATATTACAATATAGAATTAATATATTTCCGTCGTTTGGATCGATTCGATAATAGTGATACCAAAATAATTAACAATTACGTGTAATAAATTTACTTGAATTTCTGTTTGAATTGCTCGACGGCTTCGCGCACACTGCTCAGTGATAAAAAATCTATTTTTAAAGCTACACAATTTGCATTCTCCTTCTCTTGTTGCATTTTGTGGCTTCATTAGCTTTTTCGCTAACAATTAGTGGAGCTTAAGATGATGATGACTCTTATTTTTCGCCATTGTTCTTATCTCTCTTTAAAACATCTGTTATCATATCCTGACTGAGAGTCCACAATCGTGCAGCTAATTCTGGATCCTGTGAGGGATTCGACGGTTGACAACGACAACAGTTATTGAAGTAACTACCTGTTAGACCTTCCAACTCGGGCGCAGTAGCGCAGAATACAGGCGTGCTCGCTGCTTGTTGCTGCAATGCAATTTATATAATTCATTGTCCTGTCTGTTCTTCGAGATATCGTAATAAACGTAAATTTAAAAAATGCACACTAATACAACGAAATAATGAAGCATTAGAAAGTGCAAGTTTGAATAAAATAATAGCATATAAAATTCATCTGTGTGCAAAATACTAAAAAGGATATAAATGGACAAATCTGTATTTTTTTTGCTTTATTCTAAATATTAAATTTCTTCGAAATTTGAATCTGTAGCGTTTTAAATAAATTAGGAATTTATACTATACCAATGACTTCGTGAATGGCCGTACTATGGCGAACAACAATCGGAATAGCCACGAGTAACGTGATAGTGATGAAGACACCATGTTACCGGGATGACAAGCAAATACGCCCACGGAGGGCCACTGCCGTGCCAGTTCCTGCGCGAACAGAACGTTACAGAACTTCGATAGGTTGTACGCTCCCATCCCCCAATATTTATACGCTGGCGGAGACAGAGTTAACGGGTGAAGATCTTCTAGGGTTCGTATCGATGAAAATCTGTATCAAAAGTATATCTGTGTTTGCAGAGATTCTCAATTTAATTAACAATTATACAAAAAAAATGTGAGCGGAGACGTTACCTGTGAGATTCGCTGGAAACCACTACAACCCTAGGATTGTTTGAACTCTTTATAGCTTGTTCCAACAAAAGCGTTAAATAAAACTGCGACAAGTGATTGACTTGAAATGTCAATTCATAACCATCCTTTGTAAGTTCATAAGGTGGTGTAAACACGCCTGCGTTTAATATAAGAATGTGCAGAGACCTGAAAGATTAGAAATTTCATATAATAACGACGATAATAGTGGTATCAAAATAATTAATAACTATGTGTAATAAATTCACTTGAATTTCTGCTTGAACTGCTCGACAGCTTCGCGCACACTGCTCAGTGATGATAAATCCATTTTTAAAGCTACACAATTTGCACTCTCCTTCTCTTGTTGAATGAGTTTTATGGCTTCATTAGCTTTCTCGACATCCCTACAAGCTAATATTACATCGCAGCCATGTAAGGCTAATGATCTAGCTGTTTCAAATCCTGCGTACAGAGAGTATTTTATCTAATTAGTAAAATTATTCAACAAACAATCTACAATTATAATTATTTCATATTTCTTTGCAGTGTTGTGAAATTCTTATTATTAACATCAGTATTTAATTTGTGAATTTATTTATATAGCTTCAGTTCATGATTATATTACCGACATTTATCGGCTTACAGTTTAAATAACTGAGTATGTATTTAGAATTTAAATAAAAATGTTATTAATCACCAAGATCCAACCTCGACCGTTAAAGGCACTCTCGATTTAATTATGCTAATCACAGCGATCTAGTTTAATTTATTATTGTATAATTATTTCTACTTACCAATGCCTATATTAGCTCCTGTAACAAGAGCAACTTTGTTGCGCAGATCTCGGCCGTGTAACACCGCCAAGGCAGTGCTACTTCCATCAAATCTTTGTCGCAATACTTGAGACATCTCTTTGTATTCTGTGGCAAATGCTAATCGTGGATCGGTGTAGGTTGTTGTACGATTTGTATGGTCGATGTATAGAACTTTTCCGTCATCCGATATACATTTCTCCCATCCAGGTGGTAAATCTATATAATTTTTAAATTTAACTTTCTAGTTTAGTTCTACTGCAATTAATCTTTAAAACTCTTAAATATAACCTTAAAATATATGATTTACTGTTGTATTTTTTAAATCTTAATTATATTATCAATTTTTACATAAAATGATTAATGCTTTGATTAATACATTAAGTTTAAACGCAGTAAAGAACTTCGATTAATTAAGGTTTTAGTGATTAAAATTAAGATTTTACATAATATAATTATTTTAATAGTAGGTTTTTCCAATTCAATTGCTTTTTATAGTTTTGAATTAATGAAATTAAGTAAGTTATCAGCATTGCGAATAACATCTACATGTGTTAATTAATTTAAATATTAATTTAAATAATATAATAGAATATATTATTTAATCCTTTATTAAAATCAATCAATAAAAAAATAGACGAGCTGGTAGATCTATATTTATTATTTATTATTATTAAATATTTTATGTACTTTTCCCGAAATTACATATACATATAATAAATAATAATCCAATTAATAAATTATCATTAAATATAATATTTTTTTACTTTTACGCGAAAACATTAAATAATATTCATAAATTCTTAACAATAATGATAAACAATGAAACGGTTTTCTCAAGCAATTTTATAAAACTCGAACAAGTATAAGCATTTAGAAAAAACGCAGTCATTGTAAATCGTCAGTGAATTGATCACAATTTCAGGAGTGCAAAATAGAGAGAAAACGTATTTAAACGTATATATACCTCCGTTGACTATCTTTTTACGGCCAGTTCTAGGATGTGTCCACTGCGTGCCCTTCGTGTAGTGGCTGCAACGCGATATTTCGTGACAATATACTCGCTTATTTCAGTAACACCTTGCGTATCATGACATGCCAGATATGCGAAACGAACTGCGCTCGAGGAGCGTATTAATTATAGGGAAATCAGAGCTTATTCAACATCCTTGTTTAACTTGTTTAACGTCTAATCAACAACAAAGATAAAATGACATAATAGCGCGCCCCACGAACGCAGCTACGATCTCCAACCTTCGTCGAGAGATCAAAGATCGTTTCGGGAATGAAGATTTCATCATCGATTACTTCACGTAATAAACGTTCCCATCTAATGTCGTTCTCTCCTCCCATCCCGGCGGCAGCTCATCTTCGCTGTCGGAATCATTCAAAACAACCATCCTTGGACTACACTCGACTACTATACGCACTATATATATACATACATACTGGGCGACAGCTGTGGTCGTTCACACGGATAGACAGAGTGTGAGAGCTGTCAGGGCTTCACTGTGTGCGTAAGGGAGAGGAAATCAGGAAAATTCGCTGGTGCGCTGTGTGGTGCGCTGCTGCGCTCGTGCTGCTCCGCTCGCGATGGTGCTTTTGCTGCACGTTACAGTTTATGATTAGGTTAGGAAACTTGTTTGATGCTTCAAGATCGGCGTGTATATTTATTAATTAAATACGAGTTTTATTGTCGAAGAATTGGTTAACGAATTGCCGACGCCGCGACATGGCTGGGAAGCAAGGAAAAGATCTGGCATTGTCTATGCTGAGAGTGTTGCCCAGGCTGTCATTAGGGAACATCCGAGATAATCCCGGCTCGAGGAAATCACCTGTAAGATATAATCAGGACGTAAAAGAATGCACGGAAGATAGAATTTATCAGCCTACAAAAATGTTCAAATTCACACGATTAGATTGTTCATCTGACACGGCACTGTGATGTCGGATTAATTTGATTGGATTAATTTTTTACGATTTATTATAACTATACATTTAATAGTATTATATCATATTTAATAGTATAACTACAATAATTATAATATATATTTTCTAATTGTATAGTGTAATATTTACACTTTGTAAACAACGAAATAAGAATATGTATATTATATATATACTGTAACCTGATAATTCTTATTTCGTTGTTCACAAAGTGTAAATATTACATTGTACAATTATAAAATATATATTATAATTATTGTAGTTATACTATTAAATATTATATATTTTATATTTTTATATTATAATATCATATATTTTATATATATTTGATATAAAGATGCCAAGACGCCACTTTATTTTAATCTGCCTTATTATTCTCATGCGCAGCAACGTGGTAGAGGTCAATATGGTGGTAATAAGCATGGTTGTGGAAACAAGGGCTCCAGCCAAAGACAGAATTATTTGCGTCCGGGTTACGAAACTGGGAATACCCCATTTTACCTGAGATTCGGCAGAGAACCTTACTACAAGGGACATCAGTAAGTTCCATAGATTTATATATTTTACGTAAGATTGCAGAATGCATATGGTTGGATTTCTAAGAAAACAAATTCTGTGCATTTTAGCCTGAGACGAGAATATCCGCCGCTTTCTTTACACACACTGCAAACGTACATCGACACAAATCGGCTAGATATCAATAAACCAATCGATCTTGTATCGTTGATAAACACTGGTCTGTACGATATAAATGTGCGATGGAAACATGCCGGAGTTCATTTAACGGATGAGGTAATGTTCTGTGATTTTACGATTTAGAGCTTTTAGATTTTTAGATTATGCTGTGGGATTTTTTCAATTGTAATATATAGCATACACAGCTCTCTGTTTTACAAAGGGATTGTATTAATTTGGAAATTGTGTTCCAAGGGGGCACATTGCTTTGCAGCCAAAGTAAACATAGAGGTGCAGTGGGCCAGCGAGCCCGTGATCGCCGCGATTGAAAGAAACGGTGGTGTAATTACAACCGCTTACTACGACGTGAATAGCCTTCATGCCATGTGCGATACAGAACAGTTCTTCAGCAGAGGTGGTTTTCAAGAAATGTCCTTCCATTTTTGGAATATAATCCTGTATATTAAATGCCTTTCAAGACTTTTTGTTCTGTTTTAATATAACTCTTCTTTCGTAACGTACAGGTGAACCGATACCGCGCAGATTTTTGCCGCCGACGGATTGCTTAGAATTTTATTCCAGCGCCGCTATGAGAGGATATCTGGCTGATCCCGAGAAGATTTCTCAGGAACGGCTGGTACTGGCGCAAAAGTACGGCTACGAATTGCCGAAAATCGAGGACGATCCCGATTATGAGATGTTATGCGAGCGCAAGGATCCGCGGCAAGTGTTTTACGGTCTGGAGCCAGGCTGGGTGGTCAGTCTTAAGGATAAAGTCATCCTGAAACCGAAAGCCCAGTATCTGAAGGAGTTTTACGCGAGTTGAGACGCGAAGATATATATATAGAACAACAATGTGAATAAATTAGATATAATAAATGATACTTATGTGACAATCGTATTGTTTGTTATTAAAATTATGCATCTAATTATGGTCATGTATAATTTACTATTAAGTACAGCCTTGATAAGTATGAAACACCTGCACAAATTGACATAAACGTTTTGTATCTAACGAAAAATAAGTTAAAACCTGCAGTTATATTGAAAAAAATAACGTTTTTATAACAATATTAAAATATTTTATTAGTTGGCTTTTATTACCGTCTTTTCCACGATCATGCGACAAAATTAAGGGTACTTTATGCTTACGATCAAGGCTATAAAATAATGTAATATGACTAGTGCTTGTGGCATTCACAATTAGTCTTTTTAGTTTACGAAATTGGATGTCGTGTGCTTCTCGCAGCATGTCTGCAATTTTGAATTTGAATATCGCGCGCCTCGATAACCTGTGAGGTCCTACTCATTCGGACGGCAGTCGAATCGAGGTCGAATCGCGATACAATCGACCTCGCGCGACTCCACCACACCCGCGCATCACCGCTCGCGCGCTCGCTGCTCGCAATCGATAGCCTTATGCCTGTCAAATGGATAATAATGGCAGCGACGACGGTTGATACGATGTTGCAGAGCAATGGCTTTCAGGCGAAAAAGAAAGAGGACGTCGAAAATAAGGACAACTTGTGGTACGTGCCCGTAAGTCCGCGCGACGTTAACCGTGCTAACGAGAAACGCGCCGCGAGGCGACCGTACGTTTTTCGCCGCCCCTCGTGAGAAAGCGCGAGATGTGCCTTCCGCTTCGCGTGTGACACATCGTGCTGCGTGAGAAAAATTTTACGCGTCCCGATCCCGCACACTCGAGTCACACTGCGCCTAAACTCGACGTTCTCTCGTATGCTTTTGCAGGTCGTCTATCCTGGCGGAGGTGCAAAACAGCGGCAACAACAAGCTGCCGTCGAACAAAAATGTCCTCGTTTTAGGTAAATATCGACACCACGCGCGCGGCCCCGACGTCGCTCGTATACTCGACCCGATGTATCACGCATATTAAGTAGCCACTCTGCCGCTCGGATGCGTGTGTCATCGGTAGGAAAAAAAAGCCTTGTCGCCATCCGTGCCGCTCACCCACAGGAGAGACAAATCCGTTTCCTTAATCGTGATCTTTGTACGCGTGTGACATCTGTCGTAGCGTAAGCGTTGTAAGGTTATATCGACGAAGTGCAGCCTTTGCAATCTGCTCGTGCGTTTGGAGCGCGTTATAATAAGGGAAAACGTATTCGTCTCCCCTTCGACGAATTATTAATTACGAGTGTAATACGCAGGAATAATGTGGCCGAATGTAATACTTCTCCTGTATGGATCGTACTATCCTGTGGAGATCTTGATGCATGTACTTTTTTTTTTAGGTGACAATGAGAGCGGGAAAACTACGCTTATAGCCAAGCTGCAGGGCGTAGAGGATCCAAAGAAAGGTTCTGGGCTAGAATTCGCATATATCGACGTGAGAGACGATTACAGAGACGGTCAGTGTGAAATTAAGATTGAGACACTCAAATGATCGCCTGATACGGCTTGATTTTGACAGCTTGATGGTGCGTCACTGGTTTCTTTGCAGATCATACAAGACTGTCCGTATGGGTTCTGGACGGAGACCCGGGTCACGCAAATCTTCTGAGATTTGCTCTGAACAAAGAGAGGTTTCCACATACGCTTGTTATGTTAGTCGCTGCCATGACCACGCCATGGGCCGTTCTCGATCAGCTTCAGTCGTGGGCGGCATTGCTAGGCGATCACATTGACAAATTACCCTTAGATAATGATACTAGGCAACGGTGCAGGCAGCTTAGTAAGTGGAATAAAGCGAAGTAGAAAAATCAAACGTAATGCCATCGCTTGACATTATTAATGCAAATATCGTTAATCGCTTTGATTATTGCCACGTTTCCCGCTTCAATTCTTTATCTTTAACGATTGAAGTGCGAGATTGAGATTCGCAATATGCACATTTTTGCCAATTGGACGTAAATATTGAACCTCTTGGAGAAACATGATATTACTGTGCACGCGATTTTATTTCGCCAGATATTAAGAAGTGGCAGGACTATACAGAACCGGGAGACGAACTGGATCCTGGGAGTCCTCTGCGACGTACCAGTCGTAATCTGGATGACGACGCCGCCGAGAGCTTACCCTTGCCGGAAGGAGTACTTACAACCAATTTGGGCCTAGACGTCGTCGTAGTCATAACGAAAACCGATTACATGTCTACTCTCGAAAAGGAACAGGATTACAAGTGAGTATCGAGTGAGTGAAGAGATCGTGGTAAACGCAAATCAGTAACAATCGTTAATCTCATACGCGATTACATCCTTTTTGTTCACAGAGACGAGCACTTCGACTTCATGCAACAGTGGATCAGGCGGTTTTGCTTGCAATACGGTGCGGGTCTCTTCTACACATCGGCGAAGGAGGATAAGAACTGTGATTTGCTTTACAAATATCTAACGCATAGGATTTACTCTTTACCGTTCAGAACGCCGGCACTGGTCGTCGAAAAGGATGCAGTACTTATGTAAGAACATACCCGACGCGACTGAAAAAAAATTTTCTTTCCCTCGCGCGTGCATATGCTAAAAATTATTTGCGCTGTGTGCGCGTTATTTGCAGACCTGCTGGTTGGGATAACATGAAGAAGATTAGTATTTTGTACGAGAATTTGCAATCCATGAAGGCAAACGATTACTATCGCGACATAATCGCACAGCCAGCAACGAATCGAAAAGTATGCTATCGTACCTGCTTCATATTACTGCTTTGCGCTCCTGTGAAGCCCCATCAACATAAGTCGCAAACGTACAACGCAAACGCGGAGAAAAAAAAAAGAAACATCAAAAAAAAGAAAAGAAAAAGAGAAACGTCCGCATTTGCGTTTGCGACTTATATAGATGGGCCTTAATACGTATAACTTTTCTGATATAAAGATGCTAATGTTGAATATTTTATCTATTGACACTGTTATACGTAGTGCGTGGCTAGAGAAATGGAGGTTCAGGCGGAGGAGGAGCAGGCCTTTCTCGCGCGGCAGCAAGCAGCTCTATCGGGCCTGAAAGATCCCACTCGTTCTCCGACGACTCGGAATCAGGCAAGCCCTGGACCAGTTATACAGGTTATACCATTTATAAATGGAGCATGCTCTTCATGTTGCGTGCTCAAATCGAAGAACCACAGCATTGCCACTAATTTTCTCATCGCCATTATAAGTGTATACGTGCATCACGTATCGCGCGAATGAGTTCATCTCATCCGTTACATAGAATTCCAGTACAGAATTAGTGACCTAATACACATTTGTGTCAATTGTTTCAGTCATTATGCAGTGTAATTAACATACAACCGTTCCATTCATTCATACAGCTGATCCATTAATTTGATGTTAAAAAGTAAATGTATTTTTGTGTCCTTCGTGTATTACGAGCTTATGCCTTTTATGACAACCTGCTTAATGTATCTAATCGATCTTATTAATCAATAATATTTATTTCATAGAACGACAATGCAGTTGCAGTACGTAACGTAATGACATAATATTTTGCCATATGCAAAGCCATTTATTTCAATCCTGAAACCGATAAGTCATGGCGACGATAGATCATGTACAAAAATTTTACTGTACGTCTGTACAATGTGCCGTTGTTTAACACTCCACGTAATTTCAATTCCAGCCATCATCTTGTGTGGTCATTGCAGTTAACATTTGAAAGCATGTTCTAATCTATGTGGTATGATCTGTCCATTACGAGTAGTAAATGCCTTTTCTCAACAATCGGACGGAGCACTAACGATTTTGCGAATAGGTGGCGTCGCCGAACAAGAAGCTGGATCCCAAGGGCAGCGGCGCGACGTCGACCGGTGAGGGTGTCTTAGCTAATTTCTTCAATTCTCTCCTCTATAAGAAGACTGGAGTGCCGCCCGGTTCACCGGGGACGCCGGGCAGCGTAGGAGGAACGAGTCCCATGAAGCTTGGTATGTATAATAATAATTTCTACTTGTTATAATAAAGCTATACTGAAAGATACATTTCGTATCTTAGATGCTTCGCCGGTGGACAAGGCGACGATGTGTAACGACGCAGCGGCGGAGTTAGATCGTCTCACTCGGACCAAGAAACTTTCTCCACCCAACCTGAATTCCTCGTCTGAATGTTAAAAGATAATAGCTCGCTTTTTCTTCGTGATCCATTGACACGATCAAAATAAGAGTCGAATAGCTTCATTGCCATTAGACAGAATTCAAACACAAAATTGTAGCCCACTCGTTGTAATGGTAGCGATTGTAATGGTAAGATGGGTCGCGAAGAAGTAAAATTTAGCTCTAATCAATGATAATCCAATAACCTGGTCACATTGCAAAGGAGAAAAATTAAAAAAAAAAAGAAATATATATCTTGCAGCTCTGCGACAACCTCGAGTGTCGTGATCGACTAAATATCAGTAACGAAGCAGAGAACAATTAGAAAGCTATTAAATTAATGTAATTAAAATATTTAATATAATATTACCGAGATTATATATATATATATACATATGCTTACGCACATGTCCTAGCGCCTGGTCATAGTAAATTATTTAGCAAAGCCCGTATACGTGGAAACGGAAGCGCGGTTTTTTTTTATTCTACATATTTACATATGAATGCACGTCTTCTTTGTCTCTTCTTCGTAAGCGAATACTCTTTATTACGTTACACTCGATCGTTTTTCTTTACGAGAGAATAATCTCCATTGCGGCTCGTTATTGCATTCGGTCTAATTTTGACAACGTAAGTGCCGTTAGCGCTGCGGAAGTGCTGTGCGAATGCGTGAGATAGTCTTTTATACGAATTGTTCATAAAGTAAAATGGGGATATCCTTTTAACGGAAGACGCAGTGCAGTCTTCAGATTTAGGGATAGCTAATGGGGGTACGAGACTGGAGTAGATGTCCAAATCGCGCGTGTAAATTCGATACTTCCCTTTGTAGAGTTCTAATTGAGTATGTTATCTTAACTCAAGAAAGCAAATAAGCAGAGATGTGTACATTTAGTTATCGACGTAAATGTGGCTCTATGTATATGAAATTCAAATTCTCGATGAAAATAAATAATTTTTCGTATATCTCGTTTCTTACACTTTTAATCCCAGCAACGATATTAACCGTACAATTTAGTTACAATTCCATTGGGCGACATTTAATAAAGAAATTTGCCTGGCAAGTTTGTATGTACAAAATTCCTTTATTCATTATATACTATATAAAATACATCAAAGCAATCAATAATGCAATAATATAATTAATCTTCGCTGTATGGGACATAATTGCGATATGATTATCGCAGCTCAGACTTGTCACATTTATAATATCGTATAATTCGTATAATATATTGTTTGTTCGTACAATGATTATGTGTATTAAGATAAAACTCAAGAAAGACAGTAATAAAATGGTTAGAAATACTGTCGAAATATAGGAATGACCTTCAAATCATTCTATGTTATATTCATTATCTCATATTGTTCACCTAAGATTATACACATCTTATCGATCGTCATGATATATGCCAACACAATTAATTTTCGAGATTGAGTTAACCGTCAAATAATTGAACACAATATAAACTGTGATTTAGATAAAATAAACTTTTCACTCATTCATGTTCGGAAATTATGTATAAATAAAAGCGCTGTTACATGAGGTATATATACAAAAAATGCATTAAAAATGACATAAAAAGGAAAAGAGCATAAATGTCTTTGTAATTTCATAAGACATGACATATACAATGACAAATCTACAGTAGCAAATCTACTCTTAGAAAGTTGAAACTAATATTTCTGGAATATTTTTCAAAAAAGATCCATTTTATAAATATATAAAATAAATATATTAAATAAAAAAAAATAGATTCATATAAAACATATATTATATTTATTACTATTACAATTGATATAAATGTACTTATATTAAAAATTCATTTTAATATAAATATTTTTGAAATTTTGAAACTTCAAAAATATAATTAATATAAATTTTAATGTCAATAAATATAATTATTATGATTACAACAAAATAATTTAATATATAAATTTTTAATTTGAAAAAAATTGAAAAATAGCTTCATTACTTTGCCGATGTACAGTTGCCATTGTATTATATCGAAAATATTTTTATCAATTTATGTAACATGTGAATACATCACGTATAATACTAATAGATTATGGTATCTAATCAACAATGATAAATCATCTTATAACTTTTATTTTAATATTTCAACGGTAAAATCAAACGTTCAAATGCGATATTTTACTTACTATTTTTTTGGCAATATATGTGGAAATTATTCAAGATATAGATATAAAACCATTATTCTTATTAATATATAGATATTCGGAAGAACTTTCTAATGTCTACTGAATTTCTGAATTTTTAATCCTGCAGAAAGACGACAGTATTCATAAATGGTAAATAAAAGTTGTGTAGGAAGCTTACTGGAAATATGTTACACTTATGTGTTAATAGCCATACGGGACTACGCAGGAAACGCAACTTCAACAGCATAATATATCATCTATCATGCAACGAGTTTCCCTTATTAAAAATATGAATAATAAATAATTGTGCGTACGTACTTATCGAGATTACTTATCAACCAACTTATTTTTATCTATAAACCACCGCAGCTCAAAGAGCGTCATTTAGTATCTTCACTATTTTTCATTGTTATACCACTAAATATATCGTTGATTTTAAAAACAACGTTGCTCTGCTTCAGCTTGACGTAATGCTGTTGTCAGAAATAAACAGGGCGCAAGAGGAAAACATTTTCTCCCGCGAAATGTCGTGGATTCCTTGCGGATTACAATTCGTCCGTCATACAATCGCCCCTTGGAAAATTTCAGCGCGCAATGCGGCCGGTGACAGTCTTTTATTTTTAATACAGCAGAATACGTTTGTCCACCGCCTTGCGACATATTGGACACTCCGACATCCGGTCGCCGCACATTTGGCAAGTGCCGTGTCCGCACAGGAAGATCATGTTTTTCAGACGATCCAGGCAAACCGGACACATGGTCTGCAACGATAACAAAATAAGATTCGTAAATTATTCTGCATGATGTTCGATCCGAATTCTTGTCACCCTTAAAATAAGCTTATCTATAAGCTGAACTTTTATTACACGAATGGTGATATCAAGGATTAACGCGTTTTTGTCGCATATCTTTTGTTTAACATTAATTATGCATATACTTTTTAGATTTTCTTAAAGTTCCACTCGAAATCGAATTAAAAAAAAAAAAATTAAATTCTGATCAAATCCTTCTAATTCATTTACGACTCAACTTCTTGAATCTTTCTCGAAACGATAAAATAAACACTTAAGAAGAGCTATAGTTTCAAAGTTGTTGCGCGCGGGACTCGCGACAAGAAGACGCGGAAATACAGTCCGGGAAAACGTATTCCGGTATTCTTCGAGAGCGAGAGGTAATTGTACAGAGCGCGGTGCGGACTTCTTTCTTCGACACAAATTAAATTATTCGTTTCATTAAGGCGACGCATAACGAAGCGAGACGCAGAAGGGACACGTACCTGCTCCTTGATGTCCTGCAATTGCTGCTGTAGTTTTTGTATGTCGCTGTGGGAAGTATCTCGGCTGCCGTTGTTCATTAGGAGAGCTTCCCCAGCCCCGGTTGTGTTGTTCGAGGGCGTCGGCTCCTCCTCGGGATCCACCTTGACTTCGGATATTGTTCCTTCGAAGCATAACAGTCGGTTAAAAAAAAAAAAGAAAAAGAGAAAAAATAAAAGGAAGAAGGAAAAAGTCTCGCCAATTCCTCGACAACGCGACAGCATCGCTAAGCGATGCTCTCATTTATCACAATTCGTATTTTTACTCGCTATACAATCAACGTTATATCAATAACAAAATGAAATATTTCAACTAAAGAGAACAGACAATTAGATAAAATCGGAATTAGACGAAATAGTTACGCAATAAGTAATACAAACAACGAAAAGTTTTATGATATGCCAGGATATAAATATAAATAAGTATAGCGAAATATAGATAAATATTTTATATACCTTTTAAAGTACTCTGAATATTAATAATTTAAAGCGTAACGTAACGACCTATCCAGAAAAACTTGTATAATTGCATAATGCAAAAGAAAATTATCCAAGTGCATTTCTATCATAAGCACGTGAAATTAGATAATTTTCTTTATGTACATGCAAGTATATAAGTTTGTCTGAATAGATCCTTAAAGATATACTTGTATTAGTTAGAAAGTTACTTTTGCGTAAAACTACGTTTTAAAGACAATCTCCAATCCAATTCGCCCTACAATCATTATTCGACCGTTCATCATTATCTTAATTAATGGAGAACGGCAAATGTGTACGCGCAAATACACGTCCGCGGGAATATATTCCAGGCGAGATTAGAGAGGCGAGCTATCTAATCGTGAGCGCAGAGAGTTCAATATATTCCGTGCGATTAGATAGATCGAGATAGAGGCGAGAGAGGCTTGCAAAACGACGCGCCGGCCGCCGTGCGCGGGGCGGACGTTAATACCTGAGGTGTTGCACCCCTTCACGTAGGTGACATCACCGCCGCCGCCGCAGCAGACCGAGAGCGGTACCATGTGCAGTATCTGGGCCCGGCATTGCACGCACTTCTTCATCAGGGCCGCGCAGCTCTCGCAGGCGCACATGTGTCCGCACGGGCGGAACAGCACGCCCGCCTTGCGATCCGAACACACCACGCATTCTTCGATCTGGGAACAAACGCCCATTATTGCGCGAAGGCAGGAGGTGGATAAAAGCGCGTTTAGAGCTTAGAGAATCTATTCCAGAACCGGGACTTCGGTCAACAATCGTTGGCCTACTACATGGCGTACTACATCAAGTCGGACCGACGAAAGGAATAACTTATCACGATTAGAACGTTCAGCGGCTCACAGAAAATTAAATTAAAATTACTGAAGAGACATTTTTGTATAAACGTATAGAAGTATAAACGTGTAGTGTTGATGTATCAAATAAAATTAATTTTTCTCTTAAAGAAAAGAGTTCATTTTTTTTTAATTCATAGACTCGTTGAAAAGAAAAAGAAATATATAGTTATTATTAAAACACAATTAATGAAGAATTTATAAATCTAATATTAAGATAAATCAATTAATATATTAAATAAAAAATAAGTTTTAAAAATAAAAATCATATTACGTATCTAACGATAGAAAAAATGTATTGCACTGGTGGTATTTTACCTTCACTCGGGAAAGAACGTTCTCACGACAAATCAAACATTTCTTCACCCTCGGTGCACAGGCGTTACAACAAGCCACGTGTCCGCAGGGACTGAACAGCATCTCTCGTTTGCCATCGGAGCATACGAGACACTCGTCGATCGCCGCCGAAGGGACGATAACTTCAATGTCGTGTCTGTGGAAACGGAAGCTGCATGTTAGCGAACATTATACTAATTGTAAGAGATACCACAGTGTATCGGCGTAATTGCACGGGGAATTACACGTGGAACATGCAATCGATTGTATAAATTTGTATTTTCAGTCTTCACAATCAAATCTTTTGTAATTAAATGAAACAAAACTTGCGAAAGAAAATTTTCTACAAATTTCGCTAAGATTATTGCAGAATTTAAAAAAAAAAGAGAGCTCAGTTATTAATATTCAACGGTTTTTTTTTTATAATAAAATTGGCGTTTTAATAAAATCCAATTTGAAATTAAGAGGCAAAGGGGCTTCTCTCCTCTCCCGAATACTAACGACTCCTTATCCTTGTGACAGGTGGTGAGAGTCTTGCAGAGATTCGGATCCGGGCAAAGATCCAAAGGCGTCTGGCCCTTTTTGTTCTTGAGCTCCAGGTCGGCGCCGTGCGCCGCGAGGAAGCACGCGATGAAGGAGCTGCTCTTCTTGTCCTGGCCCTGAGTGCCCAGGCCCATCAGCAGCCGTCCGACGTCCTGCACGTCCTGCAGCTGCCGCAGTTGCGACAGCGTGTGATGTCGAAGGGCCTCGTGCAGAGGCGTATCCCCGTCCTTATCGGCGACGTTCAGATTCGCGCCTTCGCGTACCAAAAGCTGCGATCGGGTAAATTATCATAAAATAAACCGTGGATTCTTCTGTCCGATGGAAGGAACGACTCGAATTATCCTATTATCGGATATGTCGAACCAAAAAAATTTTATCCTAGCGTTCCGATATTTTCACGGAATTCAATTACATTTTGAATTCATTTAGGAATTTCATTATTGGAGCGAACGATATTTTCGCAGGTATTCGCGGAAACGTACCCGAACGATCTGCGTGTGCTGTCGTTCGACCGCCAGATGTAGGGCGGTCTGCAGGTTCACGTTCTGCAGATCCAGATCGGCTTTCCCGGCGCGTGCCAGTTGCTCCGCGACCTCCACGTGGTTGTTGAGGGCAGCCAAGTGAAGGGCCGTGTAACCGTCATCTTTCTTCTCGTCGACGATCCAGGGTCGAGGCAACTTCGACAGCAATACCCGCATCGCACTGAAATCAAACGAAATGCGACATATTAAGACAAAGAGTCGCGATTGCATTCTCAAAGCGGAAGATCTATTCCCGTTACACTCGCAAGTACATTTTAATTCAAATTATCTTATAACAAGTTGCGGCCTAGTTAATTTTTTCTCTAGAAATATTCCGAATAAAATTATATACATATACACATCGCCTTATATACATATATAAAAATAATTTTTTTTAATTTTCTGTAACGTATTTTGTTCTATTTTATAAAACTATTTTACTTGTTACGATATTCTGTCATACAAATCTATTAACATAATGTTCTATTATTTTACTTTTCCTATAGATCGCTCAATTTTATCCTTTATTATTTTTTTTAAATAATTATATTTGACATTTGAATATCAATATATTCGAATATCAGTATATTCGTTCCACAGAAAAAATTTTTCGACAATATTTGACACATTTACTTCCGTCTGCTTATATTTTTACAGCATTTTCACAGTATAATTCCAAATTTCCTTGTTAGATAATACACTTCCGTGTATCTCGCGTAGATACATTTCTAACTACTCGCTATAGTAGGAAGACCCCATAGTAAGGTGAGAGACAGGGACAGCTGCTTCTCAACGAGGCCTCCACGAGGGGACCTCTCCGGAGGCGGGTGTAACATGAGGGACAAGCGTGTGTCTCATCACATATGTGACTCCTGCATATGTTTCGAAATATCTTGCAAACGGAACGCTCAGGAGGCCATCGCGCCATTCTCTTTCTCATCCTTTTAGATGCCTTGTCAATTATGTCGTGATAGTTTCGCGGAATTGGAAACCCGACTGTAGGATTTTGCGGAAATTTCGATAATCACACAGGCGCATAATATTTCTCTACTAATGTAGAGTACAAGTCACAATTATTCACAATTAGGTAAAAAGGAAAATTTTTTAAATAATTTCTTTGATTATTTTTTTTACGACAAATCTCGAATTACGGAAAATGCTACAAAAGGAAAAAATTGGCGATGCACGAATCTTAATTTGATGATCGAAATATGTAATTAATAATTAATAATAATTACTTATTTTATTATCTTAGAATTAAAATAAAATGAACTGTAAAAAATTATTGTTTACATATTGACTACATTAATGGTATATTTATAAGGGAGTCACACGATAGTAATAATAATCGCGTTAAATTCGTGATGCCGTTATAGGTGTCGACCGTCGTTTCACTTCCCGCTCCGCGGGAGGCCATCAAATTTTTACGACGTGTAAACGGCGTTTTTCATTAATGCGATCTAGGGGATGCGCGTTTTGCATCCAAGTGCGATCGCAGCATCTCGACCCGCGACAGCAGTAGCAATAGCAGCAGCCGCGAGTCGTAGTGACTTTCCTTGTCATGAATATGCAAATGATCGCAAGTGTTACCATTACCGTGTTAATAACCATAAATCGATTGATTACTTTGCCAATTATGTCCGGGTACGTACTCGTGCCCGGCATCAACGACGCGAGCGCGATTTTATTGCGTCGTTGACCGGCTCCAGTTGATTTCATTCCGCTCTCGTTGTGCCGCGCACCTCTTTTTTTTCCTTTCCGCCTCAATTCTCACGGCTTGCCAAAATAATTACAAGCGAAATAATTGGAATAATGTTGGCGATTAAGGTGATTTTATCGCTCAACGCCAACTCGATAGTGTGACGTTGTCACACATAAACGTCACACAATCGCAGTACAGTCTATGCGAAATGTTTTATTGAATTATTAGTCATATGAAGAGACTAACTTTTGACTAAGATTTGCCCGATAAAACCATCTTAAGGCCGTGCTCGGCTCATGCTGACATTGCCTCTAAAACAATTTAAAAAAATGCCTACTTCTTTTGATTAATAAGTGTGCTCGTTTCAATCCAAATGCAACAATTACACTGTCGTAACATAATTATATTTTAATTGATCTGAGAAAATGACACATGCAAAATAATATTAATATAGAACAGCGTTGGAGTGTCTAGATGGTAGTTTAAGTTAGTTTGTAAATTAATTGATAAGTGTTTTTTTTTTGTAATTTTGTGGGGTTTTTGTAAGGTAATTAATTGTAAAAGTTGTATAATTCTTTGTAACCTCTAAGAGAGTTAAATAAAACATATTCATACACGGAAAGAATAATTTTGCTGGATTCAGATCTGAAAATAATTTTTGTTCAATAATCAAAATAATTTTGTGTGAAAGTTAAAATGATTGCTCAAATATCAAACGTTTTATAGTAATGCTTGTCAGTTTTAATATTCCAACAAAATATTTTGACGATTTAACAAACAATTATTTTCAGATCTGTATTCAGTAAAATTTTTAGACCTTTTTAACAAAATCGTTCTTTCCGTGATATACAATTCAATTTCCAAACATTAAAATCAAGTGGCTATCTATTACTAGTAAGTACCAAATTGTATCATAATTATGAAACATATACTAGGAAAATACAATATAAATGCGCCATTTCTATTTTGTGTCTATCGGAGTGCGATATATCACAACTAACATCTTTCTATAACAGAACCAGCTTTCCCTGTTTAGTTCCGACACGCCGCCAGAATTTATTGTCCTCCATTCAAAATTCGCGTTGAGTTTCGCGCGCGTTTAGGATCCCGCACGTGAATGAAAGGCGCGACGACGTTGATTTAAGGCCGCCGATAATTATCGCAATTACAACGGCACAGCCTCGCGCGATGTAATAAATAGAAATAAGCGGGCGAGCGAGCGACGCCCCTGGTTATTGCGTTCTCCTGTCACAGGTCTCCGGGTTTAATATCATTCTGCTGCCGCATTTCGCGCGCAGCTCAAAGACGGAAATTCGTCGCAATCGTCGCGGCCCCGAGCCCGCATAAATACGCCGCCTCACTTAGGCGGCGTATATCGCGATGCGCGATATTATTACCGCGATTAATTTCCCGTCGCTCGTCGACGAGAACTTTTGTCCGTCGACGTCTCTATTCCTTTATTGGCATCAATGAACTGTCGTTAGGCACTCCCGACTCGTACTACTCAATATCGTTAATGTCGGACGCACCAGTTCGCGGCCGTTCATTACGACTTCGAAAACATCATTTATTGTCGTATCGCATCGGGATTAGAGATAGGCTAACGTCATTCCGTTAGCTCCTGAAGATAATAAACAGAGATGATCTGACAAAAATATCCATTTTGGATGAGATTTCCTGAGTACGTATACGTTACATTTGCACGTGTATATATGCCACTTAAAAGTAAAAATTTATGCGTTCTCATTCTGCTACCGATCTCTTCGTGAATTTATCGTCAACGCCTTGTTCGAACGGAAGCTTACATTAGCTGAAATTCTCCGTTGGATCTCTCTTTCAGTTATATTTTTCGATATTTTTTAATTCGGCAGACGTATGAAACGTATAGCGGATTAATTTTGATGAATTGGACAAATCAGGGCGCAGTTTTTCACGGAGAGAGAAAGAGAGAGGGACTCAAATAAAATCCCGGATATATGTAAAACTGCCCGTCGCGGAGTGAGCCCCGCCGCGAATCGGGCTCGCATCGCGCGTCGCACGCGTGATTCGCGCACGCATATATCGAGCATTTAGTGAGTCAGCGACGGCCGTGGCATCATCGCGGTCGGCGGAGTCTACCGAGAACCCGATGCCACGGATCCGGGGACGACACACGCGTGCCTCTGTTCCTCCCGATGCACGTACGGCTCCCGAACGTTTCGACGAGGCTCTCGCGCCGTCTCCCGTGTCTTCCGCGGCGTGCAGTGAGTCAGTGAGATCACGCGGCGACACGCTAAATATAATTGACACGAGCGTGTGCAAAATGACAACGAGAGCACGAGCGGTCGACCCGACAAGGAGGAAGAGAGAAGAAGAGGGAGAGAGAAAGAAAGAGTCCGCGCGCGAATCGCTGACGATCGATTACCGCGTAATTCCTCGTCGAACGCGGTGGCAGAGCTTCGTCGGGATGAGCGAAACGCGCGCGAGATCGCACGCGGAATCGCTACGCTCGCACGCAACGCTCCGCTAAATATAGCGCGGACTCGCGATTATTTCGGTGTTCCTGTTGCCGCCGCCACCGTCGTCGCCGTCGTCGTCGCGAATTCTCGCAGCTGCGATTCCTCCGTTCGTCCGTCCGTCCGTCCGTCCGTTCGCGAGTGATATCGAGAGGATTTTGAGGCCAAACGCAGAAAGAAAGAGAGAGACAGAGAGATAGAGGATGATCTCTCGAGAGCAGGCCGCAGTGAATCGAGCGAGTCGCGCGGCGAGAAATAATTCCGCATGGTTTGTCATTGTCGAAACGCGGGATTGTTTTACGTTCAACTCAAGAAGGGGAAGGCAATTGTCAGCGGATTAATAACCCATGAGAATGCAATGTCATTGGTCAAGTACGTTCTCTACATTAATAATTAAAAAAGACAATCGAGTACTAGGAGGTAGACTAGAATATAACGAGAGTAATACGACGAATGTAAAATGGAAATCTAAAAGAAATAGAATTAAGCAAATCTTATTTGCATGAGCTTCCTTCTTGCCGAAAATTTATTTCAAGAAAATGGTTTTAAACACGTACTTTTTAATTAAGTACATAATACATATATTAGGATTATCAGACATGCATTTATTACTTACGTTGTATCTTAATTAATCACAATTAGAAGAATGTATTTTCAAATCCCGATAAATATAAAGGAATTACTCTTCTCTTTTATTTCTCAATTATCTTTGTCCTCTGATTTCTTATACTTTATCTCACTGTATGTTTATTATAACACTATTTTATTTCTCATAGCTTACCGTGATTTTTTATTAGCCATAAATAAGGTATCATTCGGTATTTTATTATTTACAATAATGATCTAGAAATAAAACGTCTAAATATTCGTCAAAGATATAAAAAAAAGGTATAACTAAAATATCACAGTCATCGTGCTATATATATATTACAAGCGTGAGTTCTTTCAACCGATTGCACCTTCGATCGCAATGAGACAATGGCTCACTCGCGCGTTCATTTGGCGCTAAGATAAAATCGGAAGTTGCAATATTTCGGGGAGAATTCTTCTCGTGGCATTCACCGACGGATTACTGAGAAACTGCAAGGGCCTCCAGTCCCCAAAACATTTATCCGCCGCAGCCTCGCGGAATTCCGGCGGAATTCCATTTATCTTCCCTTTCGTTTGCCTGCCTGACGGCGGCACTCCTCCCTCCTCAGCCGATGGCACCGAAGTATTTCGGATTTTCTATCAGTCACTCGTGCGCCATCCGATTCGATCAAAAACTTCGCGCAATAAACAAAGCTCCAATTCTCGCGCCCACCCGCCTTCCTGTCCGTCAATCGTGCGTGAAATAAATTAGCTTCTAATATATGACGACAGCAGGCTCTTTTCTTCGTCAAGGAAATAAAAATAATAGACAACGAAAATTTTTGCACTGTATATTTTTATCCGATTCACTTTTCCATCCTGCAGCAAACACTTGCACGAAATAAATTCATATTCGCATTCGTACGGAAAAAATAATTTTGTCAAAGTATATAAAAATTAGGCCGAAGATATATTAGATCCGAAATAATTATGTAAGACTATGATGTAATACTACATATATTATTATAATACTGCGATAAGACCGATAAGTTTAATTGATGTTCTAGTAATCGCAGCTTAAACGTTTATATAATTATTTAGATGGTCCAACATAATTATTTTCTATATCTGGTATAATTTTCAGGCACTTTAGCAAAACCGTTCTTTCCGTGCGTGATGCATTAAATGCAAATACACAATGTATGTATTCTCATGCATTTCATTTCGGCTAAAATGTCACGTTTAATTATATAATTTTGAGTAAACTTTTCGTTAATAGAATTCTAATTCACGGCCCAATTGCAAAGACACGTAATAATGAAAGACTGCGAGGAGAATCATGAATTCTAAGAGTAAATTATCTCGAGATTTAGACTAGAACAGAGACGCGCTTATCATCGTGTTATTAATATTATGGTAAGCTTTCAGGGACAGTCTTAGTACCGAGTTTAAATTCGGCGAATCAGGAAGGAACGCACGGCCCGGCCCGGCTTGGCCGGTTCGAATCGGTTCGCGATGTCCGTTCGTGGGTGACGGGAACTGTATCGCGGGGAGAGAGGACGGACGCGCTCTAATATGCAGAAACCATGAGGAACGTTGGTCGCTACCGTGACGCAATTTCCGGGCGCCTCCATCGGAGTTGGCGCACCCAGCGAAAGAGCCGGTGTGCCCTCGATACCCGTCGCTCCTTCCTCCCCCCCCTCCCTCCCTCACCGACCTCATACTTCGACTCGTCGCGTTTTCGCCTTTTTTTTCGCTTTATTTCTCCTTTTGCACGACGGGATTAAAACCGAAGGGAACTCGCGGGAGAAAAATCGAAATCTCTTGCGCACGCGGGAGTTTTCTTCCTCCGCTACGCTGCCGTCTCGCGAAACTTCATCGGCAAAGTGTCCGACGAAAATTGGAATTTGCCGTGAGTACCGAATACCGGAAGTTAGATCCGGATTAAGCGAAGAACTTCTCAAAGTGCTTCCGCGTCCTTCTAATTTCGTTTCTCCTTACCGGGCACGTTTTCCCTCGTATTTTTTCGCGGCCTCGTTGCCGAAGCTGCCGATGTCGTGACGTTGTTCTTTCGAACCAGGCATTTCCCATTCTCTCGCGAGAATGTTCCGAATAGCGTATTACCTCGTAAATACCAGCAAACCAAATAAAGTCTCCGCGAAGAGTTGAAGAAACGAATGTTCAGACGCACCTTCCTTACGTGTTTGTGTTTGACTTACATGTTAAATGAAGCACAATGCAATTTTTTCTAGTTTATTTCTTAGCGCCATTATTACTTTAATACATGTTACATTTTTTTGTAAACAAAGAGATTTGCGAAAAATATACAACAATTGTATAGATTGAACTGTAAATTTGGCTTAATATTTATTTCTACTTTTTTTGTTCAGCGCCAATTAAAGACTATTCTTTTCTACTAAAACAAAGATATTATGTCTATAAAAGTCGTTATCTATATATTTGTTGTACATGTAAAATGGCTTGTCTTGGAAGGGCTAAGGGTTAACGAAATCTCACAGCCGCCGCCGTGATGAAAATTGAAATTCTCGGAGGATAGTACCTATGAAAGGATTAGTCGGCAGACCCCGGGGGAAGTTGAAACGGAGGGGATTTCGAGCACCGAGAAGGCAGGTAATCGAACCAAAACTAAATCACAACTGCCAACTAATTCTATCCGTGAAGTTTGAACGTCGTCGCGGGGGAGGGAGGGGGGGGGGGTTGGAAAGTCCTGGATTGGTATCAGAGTGGACGACCGAAGGACAAGAACGCTAGCGAGGGCTGGAGAAAAAAAAATGAAAGAAGAAAGTGTAGTCGCGATATGAGAAATGAGAACGATAAAACGTTACGCTGACACGTTGAACCTCGCGATCGTGTAGTCGCGAAACGAATGTCTCTTTTACAACGTATCTTTAATAATAAATTTTGAATAGCAATTAATAACGAATTGATTAATTAATCAATAGCTATTAATAATGAATCCATTCGAATCATTACGCAATTTGCTAATTGCTAACCACTATCATTATATAATAACGATATAATTATTTTTATTAATTTTAGAACTAATTCCATCTAAATGTAGTCAACAAATAATAAAATGAGGAAACTAAGATTTTTTTTTTTTTATGTGTATATAGTTTTTATAACTACGCTCTATATTACCATATAAAAAATATGAACATAGAAGATACATACAGAGTGCAAATGACAGCGTGTAAACTAGCTTATATAAATATGTTACGCAGCAAGTAGATCGCAGTTCATAAGACGAGAAACCTTGCATTAAGTATAAAGATGGACTGAAAGATACAGAGTACTGACGTAAGAAAGAGCAGAACAATAATCGCATACACAAAGCGCAATAACAGAAAAAAAATTACATGACAAAGGAAGAACTTACGTGGGACAAAAGAAAAGAAAAAGAAAAACAGGTAAAAAAGAACGAAAGGAAAAGGAAGAAAATATTTCGATCGCGTTCGGTAAAGTCGTATAATTTATGCGTTCAATACCTGGACCGGGAGAGAAAGGGAGAAGGAAGGAGAGCGATCGCGCGGTTTGAGAAAGTGCCAGCGGTCTTCCAGTGAAAAAAAATATATTAATTCCGAGTTACTCTAAAAGTTATTGCAAAAGACGCGGGGGAGGGAGGGGAGACGAACGCACGGGGCGGATGGAACTTTTCCGCGGCGATGGAAATGACTTCGGCATAAAATATGACGGTGATGGCAACGCCAGACAAGTCGCAGGTGCACCACGGGGTAGGTCACCCGTGATCGCTGCACTCTCGTCGGCTATTTTAATTCGGGTCGGGAGGTGGGGGGAAGGGCGGCGAGCTCATTCCCCATGCCTACGGATGGATCTAGACTCTAGAGGACCTCCACGAGAGTGTCTATCCAAGTGGAAAATTAAATTCCCAAAGATATAAATTTTATTGCGATCGAAGGATTGAGGGGGGGGGGGGGCAAAGCTAAACCAAACGCCTAAACACCTCGAAATCGGAATTTAATGAGTGTGCAATTAAAAGTTTTTTTTTTCTATCTTTTAATTTTCTTATCTTTCATTAACGCTTTTTAATTTATAATGTTATTGTATTTATCTTTATCATTTTCCAGATAATACTTTTGCAGTAATTCGATAATTGCTCATTTTGCTAATTGCTCTTGGAGAATGCATTTATTTATATCTCTATGTCGAAATTCTGTTGTATATGATTCGTAATATCAAGTACGGCAAGGGAGTATTACGGTTCTCTACCATCATCTTTTCGTTATTTCCATATTATATATATATATATATATATATATATATATATATATTAATGAGCAAACGTTGTTTACCTTACCGCGAATATTATTAGCACTATCGTTATTAACATCGTTCATTACGTAGCACAAATTAATACGTTACAGCTATTAGCTTTATTTCCTTCATACATAATTACAATCAAAATTAATCTTTATCCCAGTCCCGTATTTTGCGTCGAAAACACGCGTAATTAAACCCTTTAAAATAAGCACCTGATGGTATCCTCATATTCTCATGAAATCGTGATTTTTGCGGTGCAAAAAGAGAGCTTAACAAACTGCGAAAGAGTTTAAACACTTCCATTAGCTGTAGCCACATTTAAATGGTATTTCTGGTCGAGTAAACGAATAAATTGGCAACAAATAAATCTCTTTAATCATGATTTTCTGTCCTCGTGTAAAAGCACTCGACAGAGATACTCGATTCGTTCGGTAAAATTGCCAAACTATAATCTCCATATAATCTCTTCACTTTCAAAATGCAACGTATTATTAGAGCAT